AGAAGCTCTTCTTCTCGTTAGGTAAACTAAGTAGGTGAAGTTAAGGAATACAAATTCTACCCTTTAATTCAGTATTTCTTCTAAAAGTCTCAGAAGCGACCTCCGTGCTTTTCCCAGAGGCCTCACCGTTTTGTGGACTGTGGTTGTTCTGGGCAGGTCTATAGAGCAGCGGTCCCCAACCTTTGTGGCATCAGGGACCGGTGCTCCTGAGAGACTCTAATGCCTAATGATCCGAGGTGGAGCTGGGGTGGTGATGCTGGCGCTTCGCTTGCCCGCTGCTCACCTCCTGCTGCGTGCCCGGTTCCTAACAGGCCTCAGACCAGTATCGGTCTGTGGCCCGTGGGTCGGGGACCCCTGCTCTAGAGAACCTGCAGCAAAAGGATCCATCCTGCTCTTCGTTTCTACAAGGACCTGTACTCTACCAACACATTCTCTGGCCGTAGGCATCGATTCGACTCTACATAAATGTTTGTGTGCCGAATAAATACACATTCAAGAAAAATATTTTTTAGGGTACTAGAATGTCCATTTTTACTGCCAAGCAAGAAATAGCCATACAGTGTAGGTCTCTTCAACTCAGAGTTAGCTGAGGTCCCAAGAACTATAAGACTCTGCAAGCTTCAAAATATTAGAAACTCCCAGAGTAAATGACCAGTTTCAGTACTGATTTCACTAGATTTCTTTTTTCCTTTTTAAAATTGTGGTAAAAAGCCTCTAACACAAAATGTACTATCTTAACCATTCTTAAGGTTCGTGGTGTTAAATACATTCATAAAGCGTGTAATCATCACCAGCACCCATCTTCATAGCTCCTTCATCTTGTAAAACTGAAACGCTGAACGCATTAAACAACCCCCATGGCCTCCTCCCCCCGGCCCTGGCAACCACCATTCTACTTTCCGTCTCTATAAAGGGATGTTAAAAAGGAAACTAAACATTTAAATGTCTTAAGACCTTTCTCATAGAAGGACATATCACTGAAGAAAAATCAAGCAATATATTTGTTTCAGGTATACGCATTTCGTCCCATAAGGAATGCTGTTATTTTCTTTTTTAAAATTACACTCTTCTGACAGTAAAAAAATCTGAGTACCTATTATTCTTGTAGTAAACCTTTAGGTAATAAACTATGATTTTCATGCTTTTCTGTTAGGTTCTATGTCTTTTCAGTCTACCTACTGCAACATTCGCGAGGCAAGTGATGATCCCCTTTTGTCATAAATGAACATAGCTTTCAGGTCAACTTACAGCCAAGACGATATCAAAGAGTGAAATTATACTCATGAATAAAGCAGCCAGAAAATCTGCCCCTGAGGGGTTAAAAGTCTAGTTTAGAAGAGATTATTTAAAGAAATAATGACAAACATACTCTGCACATGTACTGAAGTATTTCATTTGCAGAAAAGCTCTCTTGAAATGCATGTATAATTTATGTGACACTTAAAAAGCTCAGTCGGGCAAAGACTTAGAAAGTTTTGCAGGGATGGAGCTCAGAGGTCTGTTTTTGTTTTTTTGTTCCAGATGAGGGAACAGTATAATATTGTGGATACATCACAGACCTGCTGCGCCCCAAGAAGTCAGAACACACTGGAAGGCAGCTGAGTGATGAGGTGGACCGGGGAGGGTAGCAAACAAGTAGATTTTAGGGACCAAAGGTCACTGTAATTAGATTGGTCCTTCTTATAAAGCTCATAGGTGGAGGTTTTTGCTGAAAAACGGAGTAAAATAATTAAGAAAGGTTTGATGAATTTTAAGAATTAGATGATGGCTGTCTGGCACGAAGTGTTGGTAGTAAAACTGTGAGGTGGGAGGTGGGCGAAAGGACATGAGAGAAACAGAGAAAGACACGTTAGAAAAGCACCGAACTTCACGTGTGGCTGGGTGCAGTGTGGAGAAGCCCTGACTAAGAGTCAACAGAAG